AAGCGACCTCACCTTGAAGACTGAAGTCCCTCAAACTAGCGTCGAGATAGCAGACGTTGCGGCTGGAGCAATGGTTCATGGGTTAAGAGCACTGGCTACTCTTGCAAAGGACCTCAGTTTGCTTCCTAACACCCATACGGAGGCTAACAACTGTCCCTAACTCCAGTTCTAGGGGATTTAATGCCCTCTTCTGGTCTCCAGGGACACTGCATACACATGGTACACTTACATACATGCATGTAAAACACATACACATAAAATAAAATTATATTAATTTTCTAAAAAGGACAGTATGAGCAGGAAGTGGTGGCACACACCTTTAATCCCAGCACTCGGGAGGCAGTGGCAGGTGAATCTCTGTGAGTTCAAGGCCAGCCTGCCCTGCATAGTGAGTTCCAGGCCAGCTGGGGCTACAGGGAGACCCTGACTCTAAAAACAAAACAAAATTTCCAGACAGCAGGTGAGTTACTCATATGAGCTCACAGCAGCAATGATAACAGCACAAGTCCCATGCAAGCTCAAACCAGAAAAAAAAAATCCTAGTATAGACATGAGGAAGTAAGAAGCTCCAACCCCACCTAAGGAGACTGTGTCAACAGATGGCTGTAGGGAGGGCAGAGTCAGCCTCTCTCAAACATAGGACTCTTGGTAGGTTACACAGGCTCCAGGGGATGGACTCACACTGAAGGACATTTGGGGATACAAATTAGACTCTATAAGCCTTATTATATATATAATAGAGTACATTAAATTGGGTGGGGGGGTAATAAGGGGAGGGGATCTAAATAACATCAAATTATACTGCATGAAAATTGTAAAATTTCAATAAAAAAAAAAAACAAAAGAAAAAGGACACCGGACAGCATCTAATGGGCCTGGTGCCTTCTCTCCCTCCATTTCTGTCTTCTACCAGGTCTCAGGGTGTCTTGGAATACTACTCAGAAGTCAGCTGGCTAACCCTAATGGAAAGTACCTCCCTAGCCTGTAGCTGCTGGTCCAGGCACTCCCAAATGTAGGGGCAACTCTAAGAGCCCCTGTGTGAGAGTCTTGGGTGACCATGGTCCTCTGAGGCTCACATCAGGCCCCACCACCACCACCTTGTTTTATCTTCCTCACACCTCCCATCCCCAAAAGCACACCAATGGATTGAGTCTGCATGTGCAAGGTGCCATGGGGTGTGCAGAGACAGGACCACGGTGCAGAGGAGAATTCACACTGACACAGACTAAGGTTTGAATGGTGGCTCTCTCACTTACTAGCTGGGTGACCTGAAAAAGTTTAATCAAATCCCTGCATCTCAGCTTTCTGTCTTAGGAAAAAAAGACTCTATTCACGGAAATGTTATGAACATTAAAAGAATGTATTTAAGGGCTGGAGAGATGGCTCAGTGATTAAGAGCAATGGCTACTCTTGAAGAGGACCCAGGTTCGGTTTCCAGCACTCATAACAGCTAACAACTGTCCATAACTCCAGTTCCAGGGAATCCAACACACTCTTTGGGCCTCCACAGGCACTGCAGGACAGGGGGGTGCACTTGTATACACGAGTTTACAATAAATGGCAACTTTATTGCCTTTTTTTTTTTTTTTTTTTTTTTTTTTTTTTTTCCTTTTTTTTTTTCTTTTTTTTTGGTCTTTTTGAGACAGGGTCTCCCTGTAGCCCCAGCTGTCCTGGAACTCACTATGTAGACCAGGCTGGCCTTGAACTCACAGAGATCCGCCTGCATCTGCCTCCTGAGTGCTGGGATTAAAGGCATGCACCACCACGCCCGGCCCTGCCATTATTTTTTCAGTCATTCACCCAACAATTATTTGCAGGTTTCCAGAAATATGAGTTGGACCTTAAGAGATCTTTAGATATTTTCTTCACATATTTCCCTTCCACTAACCCTGTGTGGAACTCACCTGTCCTTACTGCTCAGGGTCAGTCGGCTATGAGCTAGGTCAGCGCAGTCTTCAAACCAGTCCCACAGGGTCCAGCCACTCCCATGCCACTCAGGTCATTCAAGGTCAGGTTGTTGAAGTCCCCCTCAGACAGTTGCACCAAGCACTGTGCAGGTGCTGAGATTGTGGATAAAGAAAATATAGTCCTAACCACTAGTCCACCACCTGCTGGGGGAATTTGACAATAAACACGTTGACAAATAGATGTGGAGCACACACTGGGCTATTGTCTTCCCTGTTAAACCTCGTTGTAGCTCTGACAGTGGGGTCATTCTAAGCCACACTGGCAAAGACAGAGGCTACTATAAGGCTAGAGCTCAGACGATAGAATTTTGGGCAGGCAAACCTTGAATCACACTGTAAAGCCCAGACCAACTTCCTGTTACCCTCCCCAACCTTGGCCTGGTTGGGGACATGTGACCAAGACTTTCACTGGTCCCTCTGGAGAGCCCACATCTTAGAAGGTGGGTGAGAGTCATGTCATTACAGCTCCTCCCCACTGCTGTTGGTGAGTTGATAATCCCAGGCTCAGCCCCCACCAGGGCCTCAGGCAGGGCCTGACCAGGTTTCATCACCCTTCGGTGGCCTGGCTCAGTCACTCGCCATGGGAGGGCTGTCCCAATTTGAAGACAAGCAAATCACAAATGTCAACTGGCTGAAACCCAAGAACAGGTTCTTGCCAGAGGCACTGCTTTTATACCAGTCTGCATGGGCTGGAGCCAGTAATGAAAAAGGCTGACAGTCCATTAACTACAGGCTCAGAGAAGAGCAGCCGTCAGTCACCCCACTTCAAGGGCTTTCAAGGGTGCAGTCAACTACATAGGCATGTGTTTGGGTGTGTATCTTATATAATTTTTAAAAACAAAACAAGGAGTGTTAATAATCCCAGCTGTGCTGACATGTGTTTCTTGTACCTTCTGTTCCCAACCCTCAAGGGCAGGTCTGAGAAGCAACCCTCTAACAGAACAATTGTGTCACAGGGTTGGAAGACCCTTAAAGGTTTTCTCATTCAACCCCTCTCTGGCATGACTCTGTTTCAATGTTCTTGGCAAGGAATCAGCCTTTCTCTTGGATGCCTCTAGCTACAGGGAACTCACCACCCACCAGGATGTTTTGAACATTACACTTGCTGATTCCACTGATGGCTAGAGAGTTCCTTTTGACCCCAGAGCTTAAATGTGGACTGTGTAACTCCTGTCTGTTGGTCCTGATTTTACTCTTTGAACACACGCACGCGCATGTGCACACACACACACACAGCCCAATCTCTTTCCCCAAGACAGTACTCCTGTGGCTCTCCTTTGCATGCTGACATGGTTTTATGTGCCCTTACCCGTTTGCCAAACGCTTCCTGGACAAGATCCAGTTTGTTAATAACACCTTCAAAATACAGTTCCCACACTGAGAAATGTAAAATCTCTGCAGCAGCTGTTACCAGCACAAAACACACACGTGCGCACACGTGTGCACACACAGAAATGAAGCTATTTTCATTCGTTCTGCATTTCATATACTTTGAAATGTATTCCTAAAGTTCAAATACATGTCTCCATGACATGCTCTTGATCTGTCTCCACACTGACTCTATCCTGGAGGATAAAAGTTTCCCCCTATTCACGACCAGGCCCAGTCCAGCCCACAGGAAAGGGCCAGTGCAGAGATGACCGGGACTTCTGCCTTCCTTGTTGTGGACTGGAATCTCCTATTCACTCTCCTTCATCAAGGTCATTACTGTCTGAGTCTACATTTAGGGCCAGGTCTGGTTATTAATACAGGAGAAGATGAAGACAGCGTATGATGTAGGCCCAGAACAGGCCAGTCCTGAGCTTCCAAGGTTCAGGGTGGGATTCTGTACAAAGGTTCAGCAAAGATAGGGAAGTGGGGGCCAGTTTTGGCACGGGAGGTGGACAGGGAGGATACAGAAAGGGTAGCTCACTGAGCCTGGGCAGAAACGGGTATGGGATGGCAGGGACCAGCACTCACAGGCCCATGGTACTTGTTAGCAGGTAGGGGCATTCTAAGCCCTTTAAGAGTTAATAGGGCAGATTCCAGGCCTGAATCCCAGTACCAAGTAGCAGAGAGGTGACCTTGGAGCTAATGATTGGAAGGAGCAAGGGCCTAGCCAAGATCCCTGACTTCTGGCCTCAAAGAGGCTTGGGAGTCCAGGATGACCAATCATACAGGCATGTGAGAAGCCTGAGGTGACTGGGGTAGGATTTCCTGCCACTCACTGGTGAGCAGAATAAATCTGACTCAAACAGTAAAGGCCTGTGACGTATCTTAGTCATTCATAAAACCCACAGCCACATCTGCTCTCATGCCACAGATCACCTCCTTCTCAATGATACATGGCATCTGGGGGACCTGAGTATATTCTCTGCATTTATTCATGCTCAGTTATTCCCTTGACCTATCAAACCAGCCTTCTAATTCATGAGCATCCTAATTATCAGTCATTTTAGAAGCTCTTCTTCCAAGGTTCATGAAAGCTGCAATTTGGGCTGCCTCACTCCAGTTGTTAATAACAGGTGTTGAATCTCGCTGGGCAGAGGGCAGAGGGCAGGGCTTGCTCTCCCGTGCTGCTGAGGGCTGCCTTCCCCATTCCTGCTGACATGCTGATCCGTCAGCTCTCTCCCACAGCGCATTCAGCCTCAGGAATTTATCTAACTACAGTGTTATCCATTCCACATATCTCTGCCTTGTTCATAAGGATATATTGTCAAATGCCTAGCTGAAACCCAAACACACTCAATCTACTATATGTTTTCAATCTATCAGCACGGTGACCCTATCAGAGGAAAAATGAAAGTAGGGAAGGATAGAAGGAAACGAGGTTAACGTGGTCTGACCGCTGATTGGCTCTAAATGGTCCGGGCTGCCTTTCCCAAGGGCTCGTTGTCAACCCTGGTCAAACCGTAGCCAAATCCATCGCTGAAGATCAGGTGCCCTCCCTGACACTGCACTGTCCCAACGCCCTGGTCTCCCTGAGTTGTGCATGAGTTCTGCCATCCCACAGTAAGAGAAGTGGGGGAAGCAAAGAAACACTGGAAGTCAGGCTACAGATGAACATCTTCTTTGTTAATTAACAAGTCTACAGAAAGCTTTCATTGAATCAGGAGACATAATATAAATTATGGTGACCTGCATAAAAAATCTGGCACTAAATATAGCCTTTGGGGATCATATATAAAAAATAGGCAATAAAATCGGTACCAGAACATGGTGTAGCAGTTGATGGGCAGTTGTGACGGGGAAGTCAGGAGTCAGGTCTGGCATGTGGAGAGCCATTGGTCCTCCAGACTCTGGGTGACAGTAGCCAGCCCTGAGCAGGGGTCACAGAAGCTTCTCCAAAGGCAGAGCCCTCAAGAGCACCAAAATGCCACAGCTGACATAAAACACGGTGCCAGGAAGAACAGGAGAGGAGGGCTGCCCTCCTTTCTGAGGTTCCTGGACTCTGACCCAACCTCAAGGACCCTGCTCTCTCATAGACAAACCACCCCCAAAACAGAGGCACTCTGGGCAGTTTTCAAATACATTTTTTCCCAGAAAGTGACCCAGTTTGAACTAAAGGAACCAAATCAGGACTAAGAACAAGTTCTTCTGTTGTTTTCTGCAGGCTAAGACCCTGTAGCACCTACCAGAATAGTCGATCACAACAAAAAGAACGAGGTCCACTGTGTGACCATCTTCATATATGCAAGCGAGTGAACCCAGCACAGATTACACTTGGAAGGCGGCAAATGGAAGGGGCATGACCACAGCTGGAGCCTTAGGTGTGACCTCACTGAAGCACCCCGCCCACTGTCTAAACCAGGCAACAGAAGCCTGGAGAGAGGTGGGGGCCCATATTCTGAGTCTGTCTCTGGCACCAGAAACATAGTCCTTCACTGGAAGGGCCTGTCATCTGGCTGAGTGGGGCCAGGACTTTATCCATTGGCTTGTACATCAACAGGTTCCTGCTCTTCCCATCCTGTGACTATGGAAAGGGGCAAGTGTCCCTGACACATGTCACTGTTACTCGGTCCAGCTCCAGTTGGGAATAGGGAATCAGATCGAGAGACAGAGACACAGGGTGGACAAGGGAGGCATTAGGGGAGCCAGCTTCCCAGGAAACAAGCCTTGTGGGCTTTAAGTGGCTACCCCTCTACCCCTGCAGGTCCTGGTAGTTACTAAAGGGCCGAGTCCTTCCTGCTGTCCTAGTGGATCCCACAGCTACCCCGCCACCATGTGTCTGAAAGCAGAGCGCTTTTCTCAGCCGCCTCTAGGGCGAGGCTACCTCTTCCCAGCGGTCTGACACTCCTCCTCAACAGTGGGGATGAGTGAAAGGACAGACAAGGACAGAAGTATCTGAATCACAACTAGGCAAAAAGCTGGGAGCCACACGGCTGTTAATGAGGGACTTTTTCTCCTAAGCAGCATATCCAGAACACCCGTGCTGAGTAAGGGACAGGTGCTCCTGTGTTAATGAGGCCCGGCACCAATTACTGCCATTTCCTCTGTGGCCAAAGTAACAGGCAGCACTCTGTGCCTGGTCACTGTGGCTCTTTTGGGACACGGGGCAGTTCCTTCACAAACTGTCAGGGCATTCTGTCTAGAACAAGGAGGAAATGGGTCCATTCTATTGTAAAGTGACCTGGAGACACCATCTAGTGGCAATTATAAATACAACAAGGACAGTGTGTCCACTTCATCTTCAGAAACTAGAGTGGTTTTGAGGGTCCCTGTAACATGGGAACAAGTCACAGAGCTGATCTCTAGGAAGATAATCCTAACACTGACGGGCAGGTGTTCACAGCCCATGCTGACCACCCACCCTGGTCAGCACACTTCCTTCTCCAGGACTCTGGCTTCTGCACAGTCTAAGGAAGGGGCTGTGCTATGGGGGGAGCTGCTGGTCCCCTCAGAGTCTGGGTAGGCTTCCCACTGGTGCCAGGATGATGCCAAAGACATAGAAAAGCCCCAGCAGGAGGTTGAGTTTGGCTGTCCTCTGAGGCAGCTTGTTGAAAGCCTGGCTGCGGAACTGCCTCTCGAGGGAGAAGGCCATGGGGATGGTGAGCAGAGGCAGTGCCAGGCTGATGCTGCAGTGGGTGGCCAGGATGCTGAAGATCAGGTAGGGCAGGAACAGCAGCGTGTTGTAGAGCACGTAGGAGAAGGTGGGCCCAATGAGGATGGCCAGGGTGACGATGCCAGCCTCCCGGTCAGACTCCATGTCCCTGGTGTTGTTGGAATGAAGAATGGCCTCGGTGCTGAGGGCTAGAGGGATGGCATAGACTAGAGGGAAGATGGCCAGGGACCCCACCTGGACGGCATAGGCGAACATCACAGCCAGAGGGCCAAAAGTGATGAGGATGATGAGGTCTCCCAGAGCCACGTACTTGAATCCAATTCCTGTGGTCAGAAAACCCAGAGAGGTGGTGTGAGATCAAGGGCTGGACACTGAGGGGCTGTTCATCCATCAAGAGATGGCCACATCTGATGGGAGGCTGTGAGGATGGGCACTTACTGGGGTACCCAAAGCAAATCTGATTTCATCTCCAGTGACACAGGTACAGACTCGGTTTCAGAATCCAACTGCCCAGGTTCCTGACCAAGTTTTCCCTCCTGCTGTCCCCAAAACGAATTTCTGCTGCAAAGTGCACTGAGCTCCCAGGATACAGAGATCACAAAAGAGACCAGGAACACCTCAAAGGTCTGATGGTTCATTAATTTCTCTTTCACCCTCTCCAACCCCTGTAAGGCAGGATCCTACCCCTCCCCTACAGTCTTTCTTCTGGTTTTGAAAACCCCTAGTGAATCACAGTGACATTTCACAACCCTTAAACTCCCACATAGAGAAACTTTCACCTGTATGAGAGGAAAACAGCAGAAGTCATCATGAAGCATCCCCTCTGTGGTTCCAACGAAATTAAAACCAAGTCATCCCTAGCACCACTCTGTTCCGAAGCTTGCCTAATCCCCTCCTTCTGTCCACCCCTCCCACCATGCCATCCCTAACACCACACTCAGTCCCACCACCTTCCATTCCAGATCCAAGTCTGAGTGGCTTTATCTGGAACACACCAACACCCTCCTAGGTGGCTTTGATCTTCTCAGAACCTCACCTCCCATCCCATGGGCCTATGATCTGTCCTTCCCAACATATACGTCAAACCCTTAACAAACCTATGTCCTTGGGACAAAAGTCCTAGCACATCTGGCTTCTTCACAGCTGGCTTCCCAATACTTGGCACTAGGGCTGAACTGAACACAAAGCCACAGAAACTTCCAACTTGGAACTGCGGGCAGAAGGTCACTAAACTCTCCCACTCGGATTGAACAGGAAAAGTCAGATACAACAGGTGGGCGACCAAAGAGATGGCCCACACTCAGATCTACAGAACCCTAGAAGGCTTCGGATCTAATGAAGCTACAATATGGCCTCAGTCAGAAAGCACTTGGGTAGCCAATCACATTTTAACCAGTCTAAAATGGCAAGTGACAATGGTCTGCAGAGAATCCCAAACCACAGGAACCAAGGACCAGGATTCTGCCCACCTTCACCTTCACAGAAGCAGTTGGGTGCACTGGTACCAAATGAGCACCCCTGGATTTTAGAACAGCATCCCCAGAAGGCATCATAGGCCCGACTCCTCGGCTCCTGACACCAGGAAGCCAATTTTGCTCTCGAAGCTGTGTGTTTATAACTTGGTTGTCTGAGGTCTTGAGCCTAGGAAGAAAATCCCTCAAGAGAATGCCAGCGCCAGCCTCAAACCAGCAAGCCTATGTCCACTGCAATCCGCACAGGCTTCAGCCTTCCTCCCAGGCCTAGCCAGCACACTCCTCCACCACTCCCACTCTGCTCTCATGCACATTCTCAGCTCATGGGCAGCTGGGCTCGATGGAAGAAAACACAGCAGCCTTGACCTCGGGCTGGATGCTCAAAGCACCCCCTTCCTCAGATCAGCTAAAATGACAAGGCAACTGCCTCTGGAGCACCTGCCATGCAGTCTGCCTGCTTTGCTGAGTTCCTAACTTTCCTTCCCCCTCTCTTTGTTGGATATGCGCTGAATCAGCTTGCTCCTCTGGGACTTCACAAACCAGGCTCATTCTGCTCTTCTTTCTGAATTCTTACCTTCCAAGCTCATTAAGCACTGAGTACTCAATAGCTTTTCCAGCCCAACAGTCCCAAATCCTTCCATAACGCCCTCTCCCTCAAAAAAACAACATGATGAGGTCTGTCACAGCAACAATCCCACTCTCTGGTACCAATTTCTGTTGCTGTGGTAAACACCATGACCAAAACTAACTTGGGGAGGAAAGGGTTTATTACATCTTATACTTCCAGTGACAGTCCATCTCTGAGGGAAGTCAGGCAAGAACCTGTCAATAGAAACTGAAGCAGAGACAACAGAGGTATGCTGCCTGCTGACTTGCTCCCTGTGGCTTGTCTACTAACTTTACTATACAGCCTAGACCCACCCATCCAGGGATGGCACCGCCAACAGTGGGCTGGGCCCTCCTCCATCGGTCAGCAAATACCTAACAGACATGGGCACAGGACAATCCCATGAAAGCATTCCTCAATTGAGGTTCTCTCTTTCCAGATGATTCTAGTTTGTATCAGGTTGACAAAAAAAAAACTAACCAGTACACTGGCCAAAGCCTAGGAAGGCTTTCCCGGACAGTCGGGCTTTCTCCTTTCTGTGAAGGCCCCTCTCTTTGCCAAACGGCTGCCTGCCTACCTCCACTGCAAAAGGCAGTGCTTTCTCTCTTCCTCTTCTCCATCCACCCCTCCCAGCAGCTGCAGAAATTCACAGCTCGCTTGCCCTGTCGGTTTCCTCTCAAACCCTAATGCAATAGTCCTTGAGCCTCAAGACAAAACAAGAGTGAGCGACAATAAAACCCACAGAAACCTGTGCTCCATCTTAAACAGGTCTCACACCAAAGCCAAACACAAACCCAACTCAAGGATAATTGTGAGGTTATCTGATACAAAAAGGAAACAGCACCCTTGGAGAGAGTACTTCCAAAGCGTGTAAAACATGGCCCAAGGCTGAGGGTGCCTCACAGGAGTCTTTATAGGCATTCCCATCCCTCCCAACACCATGTCTGAATGAGACAGCATAGTGAAATACTGAGCCTGTGCCACAGAGAAGCCAGAATTAATCTGTTACAAGAAACATAAAACACTGGCAAGGGCCAGGTGGTGGTGTGTGCTTGTAATACCAGCACCCAGAAGGCAGAGGCAGAAGGAACCAGCCTGGCTATACAGAGTGAGCCGAACTCGCAGAGTTGGCAAAAGCACAGAGCCACTGCAAGTCACACACAGGGCTGGTGGGAGCATGAGACAGTGCGACACTTCTGAAAACAGACTGGCAGCTCTTCAGAAAATCAGACATCACGCCAGGCGTGGTGACGCACACCTTTAATCCCAGCACTCAGGAGGCAGAGGCAGGCAGATCTCTGTAAGACTGAGGCCAGCCTGGTCCACATAGCGAGTTCCAGACCAGCTGGGGCTACAGGGAGACCCCATCTCAAAAAACAACAAAAAATCACCTAACCTAGGCCCCAATAACTCCATTTCTAGGCATTTACTCAGGAGAAATCAAAACAAATACAAAAAACATGAATATAAATGTCCAGTCACTTGACCATGAATGTTCAGTCACCACAGCCAAAGCACAAGAACAACCCAAAGGTTCCTAATCAGGTGAGTAGGAAAGGAACTGTGGCACACTCATCAGTAGATGCTACTCCACAATAGAAAGGAGCTGCCAGTGTATGACAAAACAGTGAGCTTCCACATGTCACGCTGGGCAACAGAAACCAGGTGCAAGAGTTCATACTAAGTAGATAAAGCCACGAACAGTCCCTACGGAATGACTGCCTCTATACAGAGCTCTAGCCCAGACTGATTTGTGTGAAAGAAAGCAGAACAGTAGGGACCTCAAGATACATGTGGACAGAGTGGGACAGGTAGGAGGAGCCCAAGGGAGCTTTTGAGGTGATGGAAATGCTCTGCAGAGTGATGAGTTTGGGAGACTTGGCTCTTGGCATTTCACTGTAGCCAATTATATACCAACAAAAAACAATGTTAAAAGAAAAGCTAACAGCTGGAGAGCTGGCTCAGCAGTTAAGAGCACTTGCTGCTCTTGTAGAGGACCTGGGTTCAGTTCCCAGCACCTACATGGTGGCTAACAACCATCCGTAACTCCAGTTCCAGGGGATCTGATACCTTCTGACCGCTGTGGGCACTGCACAACACAGGTGCATACACGCATGCAGACAATGTACTCATACACATAAAACAAAAATAATAACATATATGAAAGAAAAGCTAAGTCAGATTACACCATTACTCTGATCAATACACGTCAATGTCTTCTTATCTATTCGTTCCACGAGTATTTTATGTGTGTGGTATGAGTTATGTGCACATGTGTGCAGGTATGCTCACTCACATGTGTGCTTGTGTCTTGACCATCACTCTCCACTGTATTTTTTTAAAGATTTTATTTATTATTTTTATTTTACGTGTGTATTGCCTGCAGGTATGTGAGTGCACCTGTGACATGCAGTACCTGCGGAGGACAGAAGCCATCGGATCCCCTGGAACTGGAGTTTCAGGCAGTTGTTAGCTGCCATGTGGGTGCTGAAATTCAAACCCGGGTCTTCTGCAAGAACAGCCAGTGTTCTTAACCACTGAGCCATCTCTCCAGCCCTCCACTGTATTTTTTTGAGACAAGGTCTCTCACTGAACCTAGAGCTTACCAGTTTGGTTAGGCTGGCCAGCAAGTCCCTGTGATCTGCCTGGCTCTACGTCACTTTGCAGGGTACAGATGCTTGCCCAGCTTTTTACATGGATGTGGGACTCTGAACTCAGGTTCTCATGCTGTGTGGAAAACACTTTACCCACTGAGCCATCTCAGCCCACAATGATGAGCATTTTAAAGTACTATACGCCAGGCACTGTGCTGGGTTCAGCTGAGAATGAGACCACATAGCCTCCCCAAGTTTCTCAGGGAAGATAATTAGACAAACTCACTCTTCAGTGGCTAAAGCAGCACTTTATATGGCAAGTTACTACATGTGTTAGAAAACTACAGCAGCAGAAAAAAGCAACAGGGGCGATTGGACAGAGGCAGAGGGACTTTTTGTTCTCTTTTAGAGGCTGGGTGTCACTTTGTAGTCCAGCTGTCTCTGCTTCCTGTGGAGAGATTACAGACACACAGCATCACCTGGATGGATGTTATCGTTATCTTTTTCTTTTTCTTTTTTTGAGACAGGGTCTCCCTGTAGCCCCAGCTGTCCTGGAACTCACTATGCAGACCAGGCTGGCCTTGAACTCACAGAGATCCGCCTGCCTCTGCCTCCCAAGTGCTGGGATTGAAGACATGTATCACCACACCCAGCTGGATGCTATCATTTTTAAAAAGACAGAAAGCAAGGCCTTACTAAGAGGGTGATACAGGTGAAGAAGATTAGAAAGAAAGCCACACAGAGAGATGAGGGAAGAGCATCCCAACAGAGGAAACAGCAATAGCAGAGGAGCTGAGACAGGTGCCTGCCTTGATGGTCCAGGCCCAAGACGGCAGATGACACTCCACTTGAGCAGAAGGAAAGATGAGGGTGAGCAGAGCTACAGAGGGCAGTGTGGAGAGTGCAGGTTCCTGGGCATCATGGTAAAGATCCGGCTTCACTCTGAAAGAGGTGGGAGCTACTGGAGAGTGGAGGAGTGCCAGCTGCCTTCCTTTAACGGGATCACTCTAGATGCTGACTGGGAAGAGCCTGAGAGGGACAAAGGCAGGTGCAGAGACCAGTTAGGAGCTGCTGCAGGGCTCCAGAGTGAGATGATGGGGTGGAGGCATGTGGGATGCATGGGGAGAGGAGGTCCAACCTTAGATGCACTTTGAACAGAAATAGAACTTGCTGATGAGCTGGGCACAAATATGAGAAGAGCCTAGAAGGAAGCCGGTAGCTTCGGGCCTGAAGAACCAGCAGGATGTTACCGCTGAGTGCTAGGGATGCAGTTTGTGGTAGGGTGCTTGCTTACTATGTGAGAGGCCCTGCATTCAACCCTTAGTACTTAAAAAAAAAAAAAAAAAAATCACCATTGAGTAAAATGAGAAAATCTGTGGGTAGAGCAGGGATCTTTGGAGAGATGATCAGGAAATCAGGAATTTGACTTCCAGCATGTTCTAGAACTGACTGCATTCAGAGCAGAGCTCTGGCAGACCATAGGCCCAGTATGCTCTACCACTGAGGAGAGCAATGGGCACAGCTCAGCCCCCAGCACCACCCCAAGGAAGCAGAGTTTGGGAGTCACCAGCTTAACCAAGGAGACTGCTGAACTCACCGAAGGGAAAATGGAGAGAAAACAGACCCAAGATTGAGCTCTAGAGGCTGCAGAGGGGGGAGACCTAGCAGGACAGACAGATGTATGACCAGCCCCACACGACCAGCATGATTGGGCTGCAGCCCCTGCTACCTCTGCACCTGTGACTCACTCTCCCTCTGGACCACACTGGCCTTTCAGTAGATCCCAGACAACACCAAGCTTTCTCCCACAGGAACCTTTTGTACGTGCTGGCCCTTCAGCCCCAAAGGACTCAGCACTGCAGACTCTAACTCAAACCCATGGCTGGCTCTGTTTCCTTCAAGTCTTGGTTTAAATGTCCCCTAAATAAAGAGGAAGCTGTGGTTATAAGAATTCTCCAAAGGCTCATGTGTCTAGGAGCCAGCCCCTCCATCACATTGGGAGGTGGTGGAATTGTTAAAGGTGGAGTGGAAGCTGGTAGGAGGTCCTCCGTCGTTTGAGAATATGCACTGGGAGGAAACACTGGGACTTGGATCCAGGCCATTCTTCTGCTCTCCTGTACTCCTGGCCATGCGGTGAATGGGCTTCCTCAGCTGAATTCCTGCCATGATGCACTGTCTTGCCAAAGACCGAAAGCCATGGGCAACAATAGACTGCAGCCTCCAAAACTATAGGTCAGAAAAAGCCCCCCGCCCCCTCAATAGGGTTCCCCTGTAGCCCCAGCTGGCCTGGAACTATATAGACCAGGCTGGCCTTGATCTCAGAGATCCACCTGCCTCTGCCTCCCGAGTGCTGAGAGTGCACCTCCCGAGTGCACCACCATGCCCAGCTTTTATTTTTAATTATGTATATGTGTGTGAGTGATTTCCCTCTGAGAACCTATTCTAGCCCATTTTTCTCATCCGTCTGACATGATGATACCTACTCTATTCTTCCAGTTACTCGGGCCAAAACTTGAGTTAACCTTCATTTTGTGGTATCTCTACCTAAGATCCAATCCATTGGCAAACCCTGTGTACCTTCAAAACCTATTCAGAACCCAACTCACCCCTTCACTGCTACCACCTTGATGCAGGCTACCCAGCATCTTGCCTGTATTGCTCCAGAGCTTCCCACTTGGTCTTTGCTCTTCCACCCTAACCTCTCCCCTTATCATTCCCAATACTAGTGCCACAGAGACTCCTTTAAAACACCAAGTCACGGGCTGGAGAGATGGCTCAGTGGTTAAGAGCACTGGCTGCTCTTACAGAGGACCTGGGTTCCATTCCCAGCATCCACACGTCGGCTAACAAATGTCCATAACTCCAGCTCCAGGGGATCCAGCACTCTCTTCTCACCTCTGCAGGCATTGCATGACACACCCACCTACATGCAGACATTACATTTATACACATTAAATAAAAATAATAAAATTTTAGAAAAACCACCAAGTAAGATCACAACACTCCTTTGTTCAAAACCCTGCAATGGCTCCCCTGCTTCAGACTGAAGTTGAAAGGCCCACAAGGCCTGCACAGTCTGCAGGCCCCCCAACTTCCCCCTCAACCTCCCCAGATGCACACCTCTTCCTCTAACTAACTCCCTGTACTGCCAACCTCACACACACTGAACTTCTTCCTATTCCTCAAACTCTTAGGCACTTTGGCACTTGCTTTCCGGTTTTCTGGAGGGCTCTACTCCCAGACAGCCACTTTCCCAATGCCGTCATTTCTCACGGCCTTCGATCTAGCTCAGGTATTTATTTCTCTAATGAGTTCCACCTTGATCAAGCTCTGTTTTCCCCCATAGCACTTACCGCCTCTTATATACAATCATGTACTGCATAACACTTTAGTTAACAAACCAAATATACAACAGTCCCATAATATTAAAAGGGAAGAAGACAAAAAGAAAACAATCATGTTAATGGTTTATATAGTTATTATACTATGCTTTTTATTATGTATTTAATGTGTGTGTGTGTCTGCACTCTCGTGCTGATTTATGGGTGTGTGAGTGCCACAGCACCGGTGTGGAGGTCAGAGGACTCTTCCTCCATCACGTGGGTCCTGGAGATCAAGCTCAGGCCATCAGGGCTGGAAACAGGCACCTTTACCCAGTGAGTCGTTTCACTAGCCCCTATACTTTTAAAACCATTATTCTAGGGGCTAGAGAGATGGCTCAGTGGTTAAGAGCGCTGACTGCTCTTGCAGAGGACCTGGGTTCAATTCCCAGCACCCATATGGCGATTACGAACCATGCTTAACTCCAGTTCCAGGGAAATCCAAAGCCCTCTTCTGATCTCCACAGCATTGCACGACATGGGTTCACTCACATAAATGCAGACAATACACTCATACACACAAAATAAAAATAATAAAAATATTTTTTAAAAAAAACATTATTCTAGAGTTATAGTCCACTGCCTTTTTAAAAAAAAAAAAAAATTATGGTAAAGCAGTCTGGCTCTTACAACTGGTGTTTACCACATCTCTTGATTGTGGGGAGAGGCAGTATGGAGCAACTGACCTGTACCTAGGTTTTTGTAAGTACACGCTAATGTATTCCTTTTTATGTGTATGAGCATACAGCCTGCATGTATCTGCATGTATGTATGTATACCCGTATCTTGCAATGTCCAAGGAGGTCAGAACAGGGCATTGAATTCCCTGGAACTGGAGTTACAGATGGTTGTTAACCTTCATGTGAGTGCTGGGAATCGAACCCAGATCCTCTGCAAGAGCAGCTAGCGTGGTTGCTGAGCCATCTCTCCAGCCCCAAGGGGGAAATTATTTAACAATACATTTCCCATAACATATCCCCATGGTTAAGTGGCCTGTGACACAGTAATCAACGGAGGTCCCACATCCTGGGCACCCCATTGGTCTTGAACAACCCAGGATACTGGTAATACAGTTCACTATTTTACTTTCTATCTTTCCTCATAATAATATACATTCCACATGGATGGGGATCTGTGGTTCCTGGGCATATAGAACAGAACCTGGTACATAATAGTTGCTCAAATAGTACAGCTTAACTAACCCCTGTCAATCACCTTAACCAGCCTCCTTACAAGGCAGCTCCTAGAAAGGTAGCTGTTAAGTTATTGGCTCTATTATTTTGAGCTCTTTGGGTTTAATTCCACCACAAATTGAAACTGTGACATTTAATGTATGAGCAAGATAGGAAAGCTAGATATAAAGTGTCTGTACACATAGCTGAGTACTGTTCTTAGTCCACTGCCAAACCAGCATCTTCACAACTTCAGATTTTCAAAGCAGCCATTGACAGAATATGCAAACCTCAGAAAAACCATGAGCTTCATTAGAGACCATAAAGGCATAAAACCATCAGAGTGGCCTAACGCTCTAAATTGTAAAAGTACGAAGTCCCTCCAGTGACCTAAAGACTATAGATTAAAAGCCTGGCTCTGCTCACCCCTTATCAGCTGGTCACTCCCAAGCCTGAGAGAAAGTGTTTGTGGGGCCCACCTGTCTCCACTAGGGCCATAGATAACACTCTTGCCAGTTTCTGGGGAAATGATCTTGAGGAGACCCTCAATCACTCCAAGGACACCAAGCCCGGGCACTAACTCAACTCCCCACTAAGTGCAGCTGTGTCCCACAACCCTGGCATAAAACTCCCCGTTTTCTTTGTCCAGTTGTAGAAGCTTGGTTCCCGTGGACAGCCTCTAACCTCTCACTGTATCCTATTTGAATAAAGGAAGATATGTTCCTTGCCTGATGCAGGTCTGGCTCTGGTTTCTTGTCTCCTACTCCTCTATCTTTTCTTTTCCAAAAATCTAACAGCCATGACACACATTTTGGTTTTCCAGTAATGTGGCCTGATCTTTGACATCTCTACGATTCCTATGTAAAGTGGCAGTTTCCAGTACAAGCAATGGAGACTTTAGAGCAGGAAACAGGTTAATTCTTACCTCCTGTGTAGAGAAAGGAGCCAGATAGGCCTCCAAAGTAGATGAGAGCCAAGTGCTCCAGTTTCAGAGTGGACAAGTAGTACAGACAAGCCGCACAGACACAGCCCAACGTGTAGAGAAAGACTCCGAACCGAACAACATCCTGGGGCTCCAAGATTCGGTCCACCAGGGTCCTGTCATCACTCTTTTTGTGATCGATGCCCTTGGAAAAGTCATAGTAAGTGTTGACCAAATTGCCGGCCCCGTGCACAGCCAGGACAGCAACAGCACAACCCACCAAGAGCGTAGGGTCCAGGACGCCCTGGGATCTGTAGGCCAAGGCACTACCCAGAGCCACCGGGGTGAGGGAAGCACTGAAGCTCCAGGGCCTCAGGGCCAGCACGTAGGAGGCGCACTTCTGTCTCCAGGATCGCGGCAGCGGTCTGTCCTGTTCGGGCCAGTCGTTCCCCAGCGGGACCCTGTCCCCGACCATGGCCGTCTCTCCCGCCTGGATGTTGATCTTCTCCCCCGGGGCCTGCAAAGCAGCCATGGAAGCTACTCGTGGCTAAAGTCAGTTCTCATGGAAGCTACACGTGCCTAAAGTCAGTTCTAAAAGTGAGCCACTCACAGTGACCGCCCCAGCACGAAGATAGGCGGGGCAGGTGGACTTGACCTTTCTTTAGTCCCGCCCCGGGACAGGGCCGGAGAGGCGGTAAAAACTGGGCGGAGTAGCGAGCAAGCCATACACCCCCAGGAGGGCCGGTGGCGCTGCCCCGACCACCTGTCACCTGAGTGAGGCCAATCTCTGGTCGCCAGCCCCGTGTCACGGTTCAAAGGTCAGCCCCAGCCCACGGCTACCAGCGGGTCACGGGCGCCGCCATCTTGTACGCCGGCCTCAGGAGGCCGGCTGGGAAACAGAGACCCTAGCGCGGGCAGGGCCGTGCTAAAGCCGCTGCAAAGTGGGGAGTGGTCCAAGGTCAAGGCCTAGCAGCAAACAGGGCTCAACACTTGGGCTAAAAGCAAGAGCCGCTGGAAACAGCTCCTCTAAGGATACCAGGGCGTGACTGCTGTTTACCTGGTTTTTTCACTCACTGAAATGACTCATTGTGATGGTGGTGGTTCGTTACCCCAGTACATCTTACTTTGAAAATATTGTTCGTGGGCTGGAGAGATGGCTCAGTGGTTAAGAGCACTGGCTGCTCTTGCTGAGGACCCCAGTGCTCACATGGCAGCTAACAGCCATCCATAACTCCAGTTTCAGGGGGTCCAACGCCCTCTACTGACCTCCAAGGGTACAAGTAAATACATGCAGACGATACACTCATACACATAAAATAAAATGATAAATGAAATTTTTATAAAAATATTGGGCCGGTCGTGGTGGCACACGCCTTTAATCCCAGCACTTAGGAGGCAGAGGCAGGCGGATCTTTGTGAGTTCGAGGCCAATCTGGTCTACATAGTGAGTTCCAGGACAGCTGAGGCTACAGGGAGACCCTGTCTCAAAAAGACAAAAAAGAAAAAAAAAATTGTGCACAAGCCAGGTATAGTGGTGCATAACTGTGATCCCAGCACTTGGGAGGTGGTGGCTCTGAGGAAGAAGAGGAGCTCAAGATCATCCTTGCCTCATAGTAAGTTCTAAGGCCAACCTAAGCTATATGAGACCCTGTCACAAAGAAAAGAAAGGAAGGAAAGAGGAGAGGGGGAGAGGAGAGGGAAGCAAAGAGGACACGGGGAGAGGAGAGGGAAGGAAAGAGGACGGGGGAGAGGAGAGGGAAGCAAAGAGGACAGGGGGAGAGGAGAGGGAAGGAGAGAGGAGAGGGAAGGAAAGAGGACAGGGGGAGAGGAGAGGGAAGCAAAGAGGAGAGGGGGAGAGGAGAGGGAAGCAAAGAGGAGAGGGGGAGAGGA